ATTTTTATTATTATATTTATCTAATTATATTACATCTAGGCCTGTATGAAGTTGGTGATCCCCTCACTTAAAAAAATCTGAACCAGTCCCTGCAGCTTGTCATATGCAACAAGAAGAAAAATACCCACAAATGGCTAGAATAAATAGTCTTTAAACTTCATCCAAGTATGTAGGTTGTATTATTATTGGTGATTTCTGTCAAGTGTGTTATTGTTTACTTCTTCTCTGGGTGTTATCCCCACTGATTGATGTCTATTCCCCTGGTTTTTTTTACTGCCATATTTATGGCACTTGGAACTTACTACAGTACATGTGGTCTACAGGTCAGACACCTGTTCAAGTCTTGTATAGTGATGATTATGTGACACCTTGTGTACCGTAATTCATGAAGTCCTGTTTGTATGTGAAATGCTTTGACGCTTATGTTTGGCAGAGGAAAAGAAATTTTTGATATGATTTTACAACTAATGTTTCTTTCAGACACAAAAATGGTGTTGACAAAAACACTCTGAAACAGTTTGAGATACAGATTTTTAAATATTTAAAAACAGGGGGAAAAGGTGGTTGCCCCCCCCCCCTTTTCCCCACCATTTTGAAGTATTAAAAAGTCTGTTGATGTGGAATCTCAATGTGTGGATGAATCGAATTGGTTACTGATTAACAAAAATCAGGATGTAGTAGAGTAATTGTTTCTGCATGTGTGTCACATTATAAATAGGCCTACTGTTACAACAAATAAGGGAGCATCCCTAACCTGCTTTCTTGAACCATCAATCCCACCCACTATACCCCATTCTCCCTGCCCCCACCAATTACCTTACCCCCAATATCTTTCCCCAGCTTCCCACAAAATCATAGGTCTTTTTTGCCAATTGAAACCCCTCTTCCTGGCAAACAAATCCTGGATCCACCATTGAAAACATGTTTTGCCTTTTTTCTCACTTCAGCAACCCTCATTTATAGAGGAAGCATATGTGCGTGCACTTTGTTTACAACCGTAAATCTTGTATTCTTTAAAATATTCTCTGTTGTTTGTACTGTAATACAATATTGGGATCAAAATGACAACAGTGTGTAAATACTTAATCTGTGATACAAGCCCCTGCTATTAATCCAACATTATGTGGTTTTTCGTACAAGGTCAGTCTTACCTTGTTTAGCAAACTGGATTTTTGAAAAGACAATAGCATATCTAGGGGTCGATGGGAGATTCACTCCCCCTCAAAAAACTTGCTCCACCAATCAAGCCCCTGCCCCCCAACCCCATTGAAAATTATCAAAGCACAAAACTTGTGCTCAAGTAGATAAAAAAAATCACCTAATATCACCTTATTTTG